CACTTTGTTACCCAGGCTGGAGTGCAGTGGCATTATACAGGCTTATTGCCAATTTTGTATTTTTAGTAGAGATGGGGTTTTACCATGTTGGTCAGGCTGGTCTTGAACTCTTGACCTCAGGTGATCTGCCTGCCTTGGCCTCCCAAAGTGCTGGAATTACAGGCGTGAGCCACCATGCCCGATTGCTTTCTACATGTCTTTAAATCTTCCCACCTTATTCTTTTCATTTTTTTTACATTTGTGTATACATTTAGAACTAGCTTAACAATTTTCACACATACACACAAACAAGCTGGGAATTTGGATGAAATTTCATTGTGCATATCAATTTTGAGGAGAATTAACATTTTTACAATATGTTACTGATAAATTTTTAATATTATAAAAATATTTTCTTCTATTTGTTTCAATCTGCTGCAGTATCTCCTAGTAATTTTTATAATTTTGGTATAGAGGTTCTCTGTATATTATTTGCATATTTGATTTGTAGGAGTTTTTTGCTCTTTATATACTAAGAAAATGAGCCCTTTGTCATTTTTCTCCAATATATTAGTGCTTTAACTCTGATTTTTTTTAATTTTTTTTTTGAGAAGGAGTCTCACTCAGTTGTCCAGGCTGGAGTGCAATGGCGTGGTCTCGGCTCACTGCCAACCTCTGCTTCCCAGGCTCAAGTGATTCTCCCACCTTAGCCTCCTGAGTAGCTGGGACTACAGGTACACACCACCGAGCCTGGCTAATTTTTAAAGTTTTTATAGAGATGGGGTTTTACCATTTTGCCTAGACTGATTTAGAACTCCTGGGCTCAAGCAATACACCTGTCTTGGCCTCCCAAAGTGTTGGGATTCTAGGCATTTGACACTGTGCCTGGCCTGATTATGATTTTTCTAAAATTGAATGTTTTAGCTTACATAATCAAATCTGTCAGTGTTTTTTTGTGATTTCTGGAGCCCAGAACTCTTTTAAGTATTCACTTAATGTTTTTTATTAATAAAAACATTATTATTAATTAATAATAAAAGCACCTTGATGCTTTTATTGACTATTATTATTTTGCACTTTCTTTAAAAAGAGCTGATGATTACAGGGGCTAGAGTGGCTACAGTAAAATTAGTTGTTTCTGAATCCCTCCTTTATATTCTTCCAGGTGCCTATTATATTAACAACTATATTACAATTTTACGATAAATATATGTTCAATGTTTCCTTATTATAAATGTTTTAATATTTTTACTGCTGAGCCAACTGGTGGACTATTATTACCTTTTCTTCCCTTTATAACTTTTGGCTTTTTCTTGGTTTGTAATTGTCTCTTTTTAAAATTGGCTTAGTGTTCTTTGAATATTGGGGCAAAGTTTTGCCATACCCTCCAAAAGCTTTATAAAATACTTTTTAATACAGGAATTCATATAAACTTTTCAGATACTTTGTGTCCGTTCCATTATTTTCCTATGGCATCTTTTCCGGGTTTTTCATCTGCCTGCTTCAGTATGCACTGTATAATTGACATCTTGAGAATGCCCTTTGCTGCTTTCCTGGCATGGGTTGCTTACATTTTGAACACTACGTCTCCTTTCTTGTTATGCTGGAGTACATCTTTGAGTACCTCCCAAGAAAGAGAGCAAGGGACATAAAATTTGGGGGACTTTGCATGTTGAAAAATGTTCTTTTTTGCTTTCATACTTGATTGATATTTTGACTTAGTATAGAATTTGGATATGATCTACTTTTTTATTTTTTTAGTGTGTGTATGTGTAAGTTTTGAGACAGAATCTGGCTCTGTTGCCCAGGTCTGAGTGAAGTGGCACAAACTCAGCTCACTGCAACCTCCACCTCCCAGGCTTAAGTGATTCTCCTGCCTCAGCCTCCTGAGTAGCTGGGACCACAGGCATGTACTACCACGTCCAGCTAATTTTTTTTTGGTATTTTTAGTAGAGATGGGGTTTGCCATGTTGGCCAGGCTGGTCTTGAACACCTGACCTCAAATGATCCACCCACCTCAGCCTCCAAAAGTGCTGGGATTACAGGAGTGAACCATTGCGCCTGGCTTCTTTTTAAATTTAAATTTAACAGTGCCTTCTCTCTCTAGAATTATTATTATTATTTGATACAAGGTCTCACTCTGTTGCCCAGGCTGGAGTACAGTGGCACGATTATAACTCATTGTAGCCTCAAAGTCCTGGGCCCAAGCCATCCTCCTGCCTCAGCCTCCTGAGTAGCTGAGACTATAGATGCACACCTGGCTAATTTTTAAAAACTTTTTCTAGAGATGCGGTCTTTCTTTGTTGGCTGAGCAGGTCTCAAACATCTGCCCTCAAGTGATCCTACCACCTCAGCCTCCCAAAGTGCTGGGATTACAGGTGTGAGCCTTAGTGCCTGGTCTCCCTCTAGAAATTTGTTTTTCCTTTTTGAGATGGAGTTTGGCTCTGTCACCCAGGCTGGAGTGCAGTGGCGTGATCTCAGCTCACTGCAACCTCTGCCTCCCGAATTCAATTGATTCCCTGCCTCAGCCTCTGGAGTAGCTGGGACTACAGGCATGTACCACCACACCTGGCTAATTTTTGTATTTTTAATGGAGACTCAGTTTCACCATCTTGACCAGGCTGGTCTCAAACTTCTGACCTCAAATGACCACCTACCTCAGCCTCCCAAAGTGCTGGCATTTACAGGCGTGAGCTTCTGTGCCTTGCCTAGCAATTTTTAATGACTTTAAAATTCTAGCCATGCGTGACCTCCCAAAGTGCTATATAGTCCCAGCACTTTGGGAGGCTGAGGTGGGCAGATCACCTGAGCTCAGGAGTTGGAGACCAGTCTGGGCAAGGGGGCGAAACCCCATCTCTACACAAAATTAAAAATTAGCCAGGCATGGTGGCATGTGCCTGTAATTCCAGCTATTTGGGAGACTAAGGCAGGAAAATCCCTTGAGTCTGGCAGGCAAAGGTTGCAGTGAGCTGAAATTGTGCCAGTGCGCTCCAGCCTGGGTGACAGAATGAGACCCACTTTCCAAAAAAAAAAAAAAAAAAAATCCTGATATTCTGAAATTTCACCGTGATGTTCTTTCCTTCGGGTTTCATTATACATTGTACTCAGTGGGTCTTTTCATTCTGCAGATACATATCTACTCATCTTATGAAACTTAAAAAAAAATTATTTGTTGATTTTTTTTCTCCAGTGTTTTCTGGATTTTCTTTCTAGAATCTTCTTTCACAAATATTTCAGTCCATTGTATCCTACTTTCAGGTGTGGCCTTCAGTTTCTGAACCATTGTAGGGTTATTGGGGCAAATCAGTTTACTTCTTATTGGGCTTTCCTTTACTAGGTTGGATTTTCTTGATATTGCCAAGTCTATACTATTCTCCATCTTCTTAATATTATATTATAATTCAGGATTACCACTGTTTCTTAGTTTCATCAAAGATGGAGTTTCTGTTTCTGTTTCTCATCCTCTGTATTTTTTGAGAGAAGAATAAAATTTAGAGGTATTCCGTATTGAAAATGAAACTGAAATCTATTATTTTTATTTCTAGTGGTTGTTATCTATATCAGTTGATTATATGCTTTATATCCTGAGTTTACCAAAAATGTTCTAAAACAAAATGATTAGATCTACAAACAGATAAAGTGATTTTTTGAATAAGCGTGACATTGCTTGCACATAAGCAATCTCTGGACTTAAAAAAAAATTCTGTATTCCATCAAATTCTGAGATACTATCACTATATAAAGCACCAGTTTGTTATATAGCACTAAGAACAAAGAGCAGTCACTTAAACATTACACAGTGTTTTATATCCTAGACTTTAGAAACTTTATAAAATGTTTACTGTGGTGAAAATCATATCGTAAAATTTACCTTTTCAACCAGTTCAGTAGTGTTAAGTATATTTACATTGTTTTGAAATAGATCTCTAGAACTTTTTAATATTCACTTAGACTCCTAATGTTATATTTATTGAAAGAATGCTTTTAGGCTTATTTGGGCATATATATATATAGATACATATTCATACACACACACATACACAAACATATGTATATAATTTTGGTAGAGACTGGGTCTTACTGTGCTGCCCAGGCTGGTTTTGAACCCCTATCCTCAAGCGATCCTTCTGCCTTGGCCTTCCAAAGTGCAGGGTTGATAGACGTGAGCCACTATGTTATGCTAGGCACAGCTTTTAATTGTATATTACACTGCTTTGTTTTCTTGCCTTTCTATGAACATAATAATTTTTTGTTTAGGGCTAAATCATAGTATAATCTTTTGAAGACATTTAAACAACAAAATTACTTAGAACATGTTTGATATTAGCAATGTACAAATGAATTCATATTTAAGTGATTATCAGATGAGCAATATGACTAATTTGCATACATTTGCACATGCACAGGCAATGACAACTATGTCACAACTGTTGCCTGTGCTATAGAGATGTAAAAATGTCATCACTTTTAAACTGTTTCCCTATTTCAAAGGTATTAAAACGTAAGAAAAGTGAGTCATAAGAATTGATGAAGGCTGGGCACAGAGGCGCATGCCTGTAATCCTAGCACTTTGAGAGGCTGAGGCAGGCAGATCACCTGAGATCAGAAGTTAGAGATCAAACTGGCAAACATGGTGAAACCCCATCTCTACTAAACATACAAAAATTAGCTGGTTGTGGTGGCATGTGCCTGTAGTTCCAGCTACATGGGAGGCTGAGGCAGTAGAATTGCTTGAACCCAGGAGGTGGAGTTTGCAGTAAGTCAAGATCACGCCACTGCACTCCAGTCTGTGCTACAGACTGAGACTCTATATCAAAAAATATAAAAAAAGAATTGATGAACCATAATTACTATGCTTTCCATGAATAGAATTGGCTTCATAATGTTTCCATTTTTCTGTGTCTCAAATTATAATAAACTGTATATACATGTGTACATACATAGATACACGTATAAATATGTGTACACACATACTTTTTCTTTTTACTAAATAAACTGATAAGTAGGTCTCTGTTTTCTAGTTTGCAGATAAAGAAAACTTTCCAAAAGGAGGTACTAGCTTTAACATTGAAGACAATTTTAAAGTGCTATCTGGGTCTGAGAAGGACTCAATTGAAAATGATTGTAAGTAAAATATAACGTTAAAAAAATAGGTGACGTTGAACAAACTGTTATGTAAAAATCCTTGCTTTATTTTTCCACAGCAATTTTAGGTTTTTCTCCTAAAGATTCAGAACATTTATATCATTATTTGGATTGTAATTTTAAATCAGCAGAGAAGACTTCATGGGAAGCAAATAAGGTATGATATAAATAGAGCTTTAATAGTTGAGAATAAAAAATTTTTGGTAGTCTCACAAGAAATGAATCTATTAAAATCTAAAAAGATAAAAATCTTAAGACTAGATGATTTATTAAACATGATCAAGAATGTTTATCAATAACTAACTAATAATATTTTTTGGTGATAAATCAGCAGAGTAATTTTTTTATTTTTTTAAGACAGAGTCTTACTCTGTTGCCCAGGCTGGATTGCAGTGGCACAGTCCTGACTCACTGCAACCTCTGCCTCCCAGGTTCAAGAGATTCTTCTGCCTCAGCCTCCCAAGTAGCTGGGACTACAGGCACCCATCACCACACCTGGCTCATTTTTGTATTTTTAGTAAAGATGGGGTTTCACTGTGTTAGCCAGGCTGGTCTCAAACTCCTGACCTCAGGTGATCTGCCTACCTCAGCCTCCCAAAGTGCTAGGATTACATGTGTGAGCCATGGCACCTGGCCTGCAGAGTAATTTTTGCTAGAATCTAACAAAATGTAGATGACTGCTTTCTTTGTTATTTGAAGATGCTTTGATCTTTGCAATATGACAGGAAATGAGACATGCATAATTAGAAAGGAAGAAATAGAATTAAAATAACCAATTAAAACTTAGAAGTTGAGGAGGGGTTTTTAGAAAGGAAATGAAGACAAGATAAACTTGAAAAATTAGGTTGGGTGTGGTGGCTCACGCCTGTAATCCCAGCACTTTGGGAGGCTGAGGTAGGTGGATCACTTGAGGTCAGGAGTTCGAGACCAGCCTGGCCAACGTGGTGAAACCCCATCTCTACTAAAAATACCAAAAAAAAATTTTTTTTCCCAGGCTCAAGTTCAGTGGTGCCATCTCAGCTCACTGCAGCCTCTACCTCCCAGGTACAAGTGATTCTCATGCCTCAGCCTCCTGAGTCTCCTCCCCTCCTGGGACTACAGACATGCACTACCATGCCAGGCTAATTTTTGTATTTTTAGTAGATCTTCAGGACCAAATCTTAATAACCCAGACCAGTTCAAATCAAAGTCTGACCCATTTCAAATAAATATGAAAGATTTTATGCTTTGTATTTTGCTGTTATTCTTGTTGATTTTAGTAAGTTCTGTCCTTTTTGGAGGAAGTTTTATAGTCTTTGCCCCTACGATAGCTCTGCATGATGTGCTTTACATCATTATTTTTATAATATAGATTACTAGAATTCATTCAAACTAAAGAAAAAATCAGAAGATTTTGGTCCGTAGTTTTGATTCTTCTTTCTGTATAGGTGACATCACCAGAACAAAACATCTGTACATTGAGCCCTGTTTCTACATTTTCTTTGAACTCAAGAGATGAAGACTTCATGGTTGAATTCTCTAAGAAGTCCCTGAAAGCAAGAACTTTACCTGATGATCTTCATTTTCTCCACTTGGAGGGTAGTCGTTACCATATTGCTCTAATATCTGGCTATCCATTTAAGATGAAGGTTTTTTGTTTGAGAGATTATTACACTAAAAATATAGTAGAACCAGATTCACTGTCATACCCCTTGAAGCCTTTCCATAACCTTTCTTCCTTTGAACTTTTTCCATCATAGGTAGCTATTCCAAGTACAATATTCCCTTCTAGCTATCTAGTTCCGTCTTGTTTCTCCTCCCAACTTTGTCACACAGACTCCTGAAAGTATCTTCTACCATTGTCAATATGTTTTACAGCTGTAACTCCAGTGTCTGATCCCTTTACAGCCTCTTCCTGTTCCAGAGGAATGACTCATTGTGACAGTTTCACCAACACCATTGGTTGACCTTAGCATAACCTCTTAGTTTCTCTTTTTGCTTTGGTATCCCAGCATTCCTAGGACTCTGGGTTTTTGTATATTTTGGCTCTTCACTATGAGTCAGCTTCTGCTTCTTAATAAATACAATACTATTCTCTAGGATCCCTTCCACTAAAATTTCTTTTCTTCTCTCTTTTCTTATAATCTTATCAATATATCTTCCCCTGGTTATGAGTTTATTTGGGTGAGGGGTGAGTTGTAGATAATTTTTTTGATTTTGGATGGATGATATAAAAAAAATTGTAATGTTAATTGGTAATTGGGTTAGAGAGGTTTTATGGGTGTGGTTGGTAGAAGGCAACAAGGTAGAGAAGAATCAAATACACGGGAGTGCGTATTCAAGAACAAGTGATATGGCAATGAAATAATAGATGATTTTCACTGTTATACCATGAATCTTTTACTTCTTTAATGGATTTTTAACTTTTCTCAGTGTTGCTTGATCAACTTGTTAGAATTACAACATAGCACTTTATAAAAGAATATTCACTGGCTCACCTACTGCTCTGCTACTTTCCAAATGATCTCCAGAGTGTATTTCCAGCAAAACAGAAACTCTGTCAGGAAGGCACATTATTATAAAATAGGTTCCATAGTAATATCAGATAAAAACTACAAGCTTGCATAATTCTGATACAGTATTATTCATTTGTTTATGTATTCAACAAATATTTATTGCTTCTTAGATTTTTATGAATATATCATTAAAGCTGCTGACACATAGAAGGAATCATTAAACTCCTGCAGACAGAATTTGCTACGAGTTTACCAGAATTTTATCAAGCACTGTTAACTCAAAGCTAAAATCTTTTTCACCCTGAAGGGTAACATAATAATTCATGAGTGTAAAAATATATAAAGGAAGTTACAATCACATAGTCATATAAATGAACCATGAACTTCAGTTTCTGGAGAAAGATTGGAGCAAGTGTAACAATCTAGCCTAGGTTCTCAATAAAAAACTCATCTAGGTTCTCATCCTGACTCTGCCACTTTGTAGTTATGCTACCTCTAAGCTTCTTTTTTTTTTTTTTTTTTTTTTTGGG